AGATTTATTTAAGGACAAAAAGCAAAGAAAATGTGTTAAATGCCATCCCCTCAAGTTTTCCTTAAGTACTTTTGAAGGTGTTAAAGGAGCTTTTTTTTTTAAGTGCAATAGACATCATTTCATACAGTGCATTTTATCAGTGTAGTTCTGGTTAAGTTTGTTCTCTTCAACTTCATTTCATCCAAACATTTGTATGAGACCTCCTTCCATCTCGGCCAGAGCTGTACCTCAGTGGCCACCCCAGGTTCCTGACCTGGCAGCTTAGCACAGACAAGCCAGGCACCAGTTCAGGTCAGCGAATGGGGGAGAGGGAACGCTGCACCCGGGAGTCTGGACAGAACGAAATGGGCCGCAGTCGGGCCTGCAGAGGGCCTGCATGGTGTGTCACCGGGGACCCAGTTTTGTGAGGCACGGGCAGGGGTTCCTGGGAGGCAGCAGGAAAAGATGGACCCCCGGCCAGCCTGCCTGCCCTCAGCCCATTCAGCTTTGCAGAGAGCCCAGGGGGCACAGAATCGCAGTGGCCTGGGACAGGCCCATAAAGATCTTCTAGAACGGGTCAGCAAACTGCAGCTTGCGAGCCACATGCGGCTCTTTGGGTACATACATGTGGCTCTGAAGTAAATTGAAAATGAAAATAAAACTATCACTGTTTCACTTATAAAATTTTTAAAGGATATTATTCACATAATGGCGATTTCATTTGTTTTATGGCTCTCGAATAATTTTTAATTTGTGAGGGACAGGGTTGGCTCTTACGTCTCAAAAGTTTGCCGACCCCCGTTCCAGAAAACCATTGCCAAGTTTGCCAGTCTTGATACAACTTTTTAATAGTTCTGTCTACTTCTCATACTCAGTGGCCTTTTTTCTTCTATACAAGGGATAACATTTGGTGACAAGTGACTTGTTCTAAACCCAAATTTAAAAGGGCACACGTATTTAATACAGAATTAAAAGCTTACACTGACTAAGTGCTTACTTGCATCACCTCATTATCCCAGAACCCGTAGGACTTGAATTCATCCTGCTGTTGTCAATATTTGAGGTGAGCGGACTGTACTGAGACAGGAAGCTCTACGCCCAAGGCCATGTACGTTTGTTAAGTGACACAGTTGGGACTTGAGACCTCTTAGGACGGAACTCTAAATCTCATTTTGAGAAAATGAGATATTATTTGTGTAATAGAGGATACAGTTTTTTTCATGGCTGCCTTTTTTTTTTTTTTTAACATGCCTCCTTAGGAAGATCAGCCGGTAATTATTAAAAGGAAAAGAGGAAGGCCTCGTAAACACCCTGTGGAAACACCGTTAAAACCAAGTAGGTATTTGGTGTGTTTTCAGTTCACACACAAGGAATTTTCCAACTGATTTTCTAAGAGAGGTTTATTTTTGCATTTTTTAGAAGAAGACTGCAAAACAGATACTGGCATTATCACTGTAAGTAATTACAAACGATGACAGCTCTTCCCGTACTTGCTGTTGACCTAGAAGGGTACACTGCAAATTGTAGTATTTTGAACTTAATTTATTTAAGTATTTAAAAAGCTTTGAAAGACTTTCTTAAAACCTTTCAAAGAATATCTTGATTACTAATAGTTCCATATAATCATAATTATATTAGTTGTATGTTCTTCGTTCTGACTCCTTCCTCACTTATGAGTTTCTAGGACTTGCCTTCTTGTGGTCACCCTCAATGAAAATATAGAAATCAGCTGTGTTATATGGTTTTTGGACCGTGGCTGCATCCTGGAAGCTCCTACTGTGTCTCAGCATCTTACTACTTTCTGTGACATTCCATTTGTAATAAACTGCCCTGATTCCAGTGCAAGAAAGTCCTCAGTAATACTTGATCTTTTTAAACAGTCTTTATTTTTGACCCCGAAGCATATACCCCACAAAATCACTGTGCCAAGACTTCAATGCATGGGTTTCAATGACAGCATTGTGAGAGGGACAGACCTAGGCCCACTGACGTCACAGAAGCAAATGAGGTCCAAGCCTCCGCTCTGCCACCTACTCCCAAATCTGTGACACTGGGCCTCCCACGTGACCCTCCTGAGACTCCATTTCCTTGGGTATAAAGTGGCACAACAATACCTGCAGTGCTTATCTCATAGAACAATTATAAGACAGCAAAACCGAAGCGGCACATGTGACTGCGTTTGCAACATGGAAGCGGGTTTGCTGGGCTTGGAGAACGTGAGCAGCGGGCTGTGCTGCGCCTCCCCCAGGGCTCAGCCTGGAGCACAGCGTGGGAGGGACTGTGGCTGCCCCAATGGAAGCATAGGCATCTGTAATCAACTGCAGAAAATAGGATCCAAATGTGCTGCCTACATAATACATAAAGGTCCTGATCCTTCTGTGCAGTGCCGATTGACTTTCTGCGTGATGATGACAAACTGCTGACTTCAATTTTCTGATCGTTTGTTTAAATTTAGGTAGAACAGTCTCCACCTGGCGGCAAGCTGAAAGTAATGCAGACAGGTCTGTACTGACAGTGCTGCTGTGTGATCTAAGGGAGGGTGGGGGAGGCTGGCCCCGGGGCACCTCTGATGGGTTCCTTGTTGCTCACTGCAGCGGCCGCCTCCTTGGTAGCAACAATTGTCCTTATAGCCATGAGCGACGTGCCTATTAGCTTTTCCTGTGATCCAAGCCGTTCTCGGTTTTAGAAGTCCAGAAAGCCTTCAGAGAGGAGGGTGAAGGCAAGAAAAAGCAAAATAGGGAAGGCACTTTGCCCTGTAGAGACCATAATTTACTGGGTATGTGTGAGGGAGAAACAGGTCAGCCTGGGAACCGGGCACTCTTATCAAGAAGACAGGAATTCAGCTCAAGACCCCAATGTTCTTAGAAGAAGAATTTTGAATGGAGCTTGTGTAGCATACAAAGCCAGGATGCAAGAGATAAAATTGTTTCAAGGATTTTGTCCTGATTGCAAAACGTTGATAATAATTAGCTCTGGATGGTAGGATGATGAGAGTATTCATGTTATTTGTTACTGTTGCCTGCATTTTTCAGAATTTTTACAGGGTATATATTTCACAGTTTAAAAACTTCTACATAAAATCAAGAAGAGCCATCGGTGGGTTTTAAAGGATTGACTTAGGCAAAAAGATGAACGCAACAGCTGCTTTGGGTCAAATAAATAATGGTCAGGTCAGGAAAGGACGCATCTGACCACCAAGGTCAAGCAGATGTAGATTTTAAGCTTCTCCACATTTTACTATCTGTGATCTTTGATCGTACTTCAGTTTTTCTTACCTCTTGTAAGATTAAGGTTTGTCTGGTTTTTTAGGGGGAGGTTCTGCTTATGTTTGGCTTTTAACCAGTTACTGTTCACAATATTATATTTTAAATCCATACAACCAGAAATTTTGTAACTTGAATGCCCTCTAAAGACTCTAATTTAAACTATGATTACCGTATGTTTGGGGTTGTTGTTTAGCAGTAGTTTCCGGAATCTGGGTAATGATGACCTGTCTTTAACCAGTTGAAGACAGATTCTTGTTTTGTGGCCTTTTTCTTGGCTCAGCCCTTCAGTCTTCATTGTACATGGAACTTGCAGAAAAGCGCAACAGCTACAGTCTCAACCACTAATAAGAAGGGTTGCTGGGTGTCTTACGAGCATCCCCATAACTTTAGCTATTTTTATTTGAAGAAACCTCATTTTTCTTTCCAAGATACGTTCTCAGAAAAGTATAACATTTACAGAAGGCAAATACATGAAGAATAGGCATACACAACCTAACACAGACTTATCATATGTACTTTTTTAGTTACCATAGTGGAAGTATTTGGAGTCAAAAGAACTTCTGAGTTATGTGACTGAGCAAATTGCTTAAATCAAGTTCCTGGAGCCTCATTTTTCCTAAGTGTAACATGGGATTGAAATATTTGCAGAGCTGCATGGAGATTTCAGTGAAGTCTGCAGTCCTGACCTGCCGCTCCTGGTGGGTGCATCGTGGGGTTCCTGCGATGTCCCCTTCCGCCTCCCTTTCCGAGTTGAGAACAATGAGTTGCACAGCAGTGCACTAGTTAGCACGGGTACATTTGTAGGCAACAGGCCAGACTGTTGACACTTAATTTGACACTAATGAAGTATTAATGCAGACATTTCCTTTTTCTTAAAGATGAGTCCAGTAAAGAAGCAGGTACCCTGCAAGAAAGAAGTGTGAGCAATGTAAGTGTTAATTTTCTTATCGAGACATGTCCTTTAGAAATGAACTCAGTCAGTACTCAGGGGGCAGCCCTTTCAACTTTAATTTTATTGCTTCTAGGATGATGGTGAAGAAAAAACAGTGGCAAGTGTGCGTCGGAGAGGAAGGAAACCCAAGCGTTCACTCACGTTGTCCGATGATGCTGGTATGTTTCTAGCAGATGCTTGATTACAGGGCCTTGTCATTTCAAACTTACCCTTTTAAGAGTTTTTCTTTAGATGAGGAAAAATTCAGTGGGGTACAGCTAGTATTAATATCACATAAATACGTGTGAAATGGCTCTAATCCTATGTCAGAAGTGGTACGTCCCAGATGCTGTTCTGAGTCCATGTGAATTTTTCATGAATGCTGGCTGTGAACTGCCTAAGTAAACTCTCCCAAATGTGTTTGAGATTAAGTTAAACAGTTGTGAATTGCAAGTGCAGAAAGCAGGAGGAAATGGAAAACCACTTCTTCTGCCTCCAAGTCCGTAAGACCCTACGTTCCAAACTCCCTGACTCTGGCCTTCGGAAGTATCTTGGGAATTGTACAATCCAGGTGTTACCCTTCTATTTGAACAGAGTCCTCAGAACCAGAAAGAAAACGCCAGAAATCTGTTTCTGAATCAACGGAGGACAAGAAAGACCAGGAGTCTGAGGAGGAAGAGGATGAGGAGGAAGAGGACGAGCCTTCAGGGGCCACAACGCGGTCTGCCAGCAGATCAGAGGCTCAGAGGTAATGGGCAGCAGAGCTCCCCCAGCTCCCCGCCCGGCAAACAGTGTCAGGGCTCGTGGGACTCTGTTCATGACGCACTCGCGCCGCGGTAGAAGCTGTTTCTTCTCATTTTATCTTCAGCAAAGAGCACGTGCTCTCAGCCCTCGGACATTTCCTTCCTTGGAGAACCTGTTTTCCATCTTAAACCATTATTGAGGATCACGGCAGAATCTTTGCCGGGCTGTAGATACCAGCTTGGTGGAACCCGTTCAATTCCTTTACAAATATTGATGGAGCTTGAGTAGACATCTCTGATTCTGTGCTGAGCACGCAGGCGAAAGTGCAGGTACTGGCAGCTCAGTGCCTGCGTGCCGCGTGCCTCGCTCCCCCGAGAGAGGAAGCAGGCCCAGCCGGCCCTGTTGGAACGCGCGTCTGAGCAGCGCCCTGTAAGAGGTTGGTCCCATGAAATTGCCCACGGGTGACCCTTGTTAACTCATGTAACTGGTAATTTCCTGTCCCCCAAACCCTAGCATAGCTGGGAGCCTCTGGAAAAAAGTACCATGGTCAGGTGAGTTTGGGGAATGTCGCTGCGCTCTCGCCCTAAGTCACAGCGTTCATTACAGTGTTAAGGGCGTGGCAGAGGCCTCAATGAAAGGCACCTGTTTAACTTTGTCTACGCAAACAGTATTCGCTGGCGGCACGCCCGCCCCTGCCCGTGTCAGGCCTGTGAACATCAGTGTTGCTTTCCCCACGGCACATTTTGAGAAATGTTGCATCACTCTACAGTTAATAACTTTCTAGAGCAAGAATAGTTTCCACTTTCAGTGGCTTCACAAGCTATTAACCTTGGTATCATCTTCTGTGATTTCTTTATCCAAGATTAATCAAAAAGTTCAGGGACATTTACTTCAAGAGTATCACTTACTAACACTTGTCACTGTAGTATAATAGTAATAGTGTCTTGTGTTTACATAAAGACTTACAATCAACCCATTTCTGATTCCTCCAAACTTGCACTTTATTAGCCATTCATGCCATGGTTTCATTTCTCAAAGAGCCAGATTTTAGAACTGAAAGACTTCAGGTACTCATATGACTGAAAGGAAGGTGGGGGCCTCGTGTTTGTTTCTTAGGAGGGGCAGCTCAGATAAATGGAAGTCACAGAGTCCAGATTCGGCCGACAGGAGAGGGTGCGGGTGCAGCACCCCTGCATTCGGGTGCAGAACACCCACCTACACCACCACCTCCCTCTTAAATAGTTGTGGAAAGATCACCCACCACAGTGCCCCCCCCCCCAGAGAAAGTTCCATAGGCCTTCTTAAAGTAGCTCTCGATTTGCCTTTTTTTTTTTTTAAGCTGAGCCATCCTGCCACCTGTTGGCAGCTCAGCGGCTGCTCAGCTCGGGCTAGGAATCGAACCGGTGTTGCTCAGAGCTCACACTCTTGAGCGAGCTCTTAACCAACTGAGCCACTCGGCCGGCCCTCGATTTGCCTTGTAAAATGCACCCTTCAATGCTCTTCCGTAGTGAACGTTAAAATTTTGGATTTGCAGATGGATTCTTATCTCTTTAGTTCAGATTCCTTGGCATTGTGTGATTGTTTCCAGGTCCCTGGCGTCCTCATAATCTCAGATTCTCAGGGTTGGTGGGATCTCGGCGGGCCAGTACTGCTAACCCACTAGCGCCTCAGCCAGCAGCTGCTCTGACAAGGTCTTCCTGCATCTGCACGTGCCTCCGGGCAGGGAGAGCCGCCTCCTGGCACTGTCTTCTTGTGTTCAGTGGAAGCTGGCCCTCCATCCCCCTGTCCCTGAAACACGGGAAGGCAGCTGGCCTCTCTTCTTGTTCTGAGCCTCTCATTATCCCTGTTCTCCTCAGCGTATCTGTCTCCTCTTGAAGAAGCAAACGCTCGCACCAGGTGTGGGCTGATGAATGCCTGCAGAGGGGGCTGCCCCCCTCGTGTTCTAGACTCTGCCTCAGCATGCAGCCGAACCGCCATGAGTTCCCTCCGCTTGGACTGCACCCTGCTCAGCAAGTCCTTGTTCTTAGCGTTTCTGTGAGTGACTCAGACATCCCCTCACGTGGCATTTGCTGGTGCGGTGGACGGTTTGCACCTGGTTACGGGGCCTTCACGTTTAGCCTTAGGGATTGTGCTTGCTTGAGTCCTGGCCCCGTGTTCTGGCGCACGCGTCGGGGGCCTTCTCTTGTGAGCCAGTGTACTTGCTGTGTATCGCAGCGGCATCTTTCCCTGAATTGCTGTTCACCGCCGGGCACAGTAAAAGCCAAGCAGAGTGAGTCTCGGATGACGTGGAGATCTGCTTGGTAGCGAGCCCAGAAGACCAGCTGTTCTCCTGCTTTGGCTCCCCATTCCGACTCGCCACGAGGACCCTTGTCCTTTGTAAAGCGTCCCAGGGCCCGGGCGTTGAGTGCTACCACTGCCCAGTGTTTCTATAATCTATTTCAGAAAGCACCATAGCGAGCCATCTGCACGTGCAGCGTCCAAACTTGGCAGCCCAGACACAGTTTCTCCTAGAAATCGCCAAAAATTAGCAAAAGAGAAGTTACCTACCAGCAAAAGTGTTAGTAAATCTCCCCCATTAGGAAGGTAAGTCCCTGCTTACACTTCAAGTCACTTCTAACCCCGGAGACTGCTTTTGGTACAGTGATAACCTTCTTCCTAAGTTCCTTGAAGATTCTGTCTTGCCAAATAAGTGTCTTTGGGGATCACTGGTTTCCCAAGTGGAAACCTACTCAGAGAGGAGTAAGAAGGGTGCAGAGGGAGCCTGGGGGGCCGCGTCAGGCTGGCCTCACCCACGGCCCTCCTGCACAGGCTTCTGCTCGGCACCTGTGAGTCTGACACGCCAACTCCTGGCCACCAGGACCCAAGGCAAGGCGTGTTTTCTCCTGAGTGCTCACAGATCCGAATGCTTGATTAAAGCAGCACAGCATGGCCGGGCAGGTGACAGCCCAGAGTCGTTTCTGTTTTAGCCAGAGCATTGGTGGCGGATGAGGTGACAGGAAGGCACCCACCTCAGGCACAGCCAGTCTCCAGCTTTGCGCCTTCCGCCGCAGCCTGGTCATCTGACTGCCGCCCCCTTCCCATTGCTTGTGCGACTTCTTTCTTCAGTGCCCTGGCCACCAGCCCCCCGTAAGCCAGGGCCTTCCGTCCTTCACACACCCCCTCTTCAGGATGCCTCCCCCCTGCTTCGGCCCACCCTCATGTCTCCTTCCTGCTGCTCTTCCGATCAGGCCATGTGCAGGGGACAGTGGTGTGTGTGAGCTTTGTTTCGCCCTCTTGAGCTATCAGCTTCATCCTTGAGATCAGGATTTTCTCTTACTCCCTGTCCATTGCGTGACAGCACCAAAAACCACAGGACTCTCCACAGTAGACAAAACGGTGTGATGCCTCTTATCACCTCTGACCTTCACAGCGTACTTGGATGTCCGCGTTGTCATCTCCATGTAAGGGAAGTGATCTGAAGGACCAGGTGCCTCTCACATGGGTTCTCCCGTCAGTCCTCGCTAAGTGACGTGTGCTGTTTATCCTTGTTTTATGCGCGAGGAGAAGACTCTTCCATTCTCTCTCGGTATTGAACATGCAGCCCAGTCACAGGGAGTCTGCAGCTCTCACGAGCTCCCAGGTGATGCCAATACCGCTGGTCCCAGATCACACTCTGGGCGGAAGGAAAGGGCCCGGGTGACCCACTGGTGTCACAAAGCCGGCTCCCAGCTTCTGCTCTCTGCTGTGCAGTCTGGAGCAGTGCTGAACCCCGGCCGTTCAGTAGATGAGTGCTTGTGTGGTGACCGATGGCTCCTCTGGACACGGCTTGTGATGGGCCTTTCTCAGGGCACGAGTAGGTGATATGGATGGCGCTGAAAATACCTCATGTGCAACAACATTTCACTCAGTTTGAGTTTATTTACCTCTGCTGTCAAAGGAACAATAAGCAAAACATGTCTTCACGTTGGTGAAGCCCCATTTCTTCATGTTGTGCAGTCTTCTGGCACTTTTCATGTCCCAAGTCCTTTCATTCACCGGCATGACATCTGCTGGCTGACACGTGCCAAGCTTTGTACTGGGTGCTGCAAGTAGGAAACATAAAACTCAGCAGCTGTCTGATGGGGAGACGTGTGTGTATGACTTGCAAACTTTTTTGACAGCACCCCACACTAAGTATATACTTTGCAATACTGCTGCTGTAACTGAAACAAACGTTTTATGACTTAATAGACTTGATATCAGGGGTATACTCTGTTGTGTTCTTTTAATACGTTGTAATATAGTGACTGTAACCTGCAGTTTGAAAAAAAACCTGGTGGCGAAGTTACCATGGTAAGTGCGGTGTTGAAGACACAGTGCCGGGGACTTCCTAGCGCCCCTTGCTCTGTGACAAGGGCTTCCCAGAAGGAGTTGCTTTTGAACTGGGCTTAAAATGAGGTTTGCCAGATGGGAGGTGTGGGGTGACTCCAAAAAAACATCACATGCCGAAGCATGAAAATGTAAAAGAACGTCATGTGTTTGGAGATGGGGATACTCTGGCAGGACTGTAGGCCAGGGTGGTACGCAAGTCCAGGGTAACCGATAAAGGACTGTGTTTGTTATGCGCTAGATGACTTTGTCCTGAATGCGTCAGAGAGCCAAGAGATACAGACACAGACACAGATAGGCAGATAGGTGTAGATACAGGTAAACGGGATGGTGACATGACTAATTGAAGTTTCCGACATGTGATTCTCGTGGCAGATCAGAGAGCCAGGAGTTAGGCTGCTGGCAGGGAGACTGTGTAGAATACTCTTCCAGTCCCTGTGCCTGTTGTAACGGTGCCACTGTTGTCCGTGGTACCGCACTGTGCAGCGCAATGGTTCACGTGCTCAGATGGAGGCTGCAATCCTGCTGTGTTCTTGCCAGTTGTTTCCACTTGGGACAGTGTGTGTGGGACTGGCTGTTAATTATTTTAGAAGAGCTGGGGCCCAGAGAAGCAAGTCGATGTGACCAGCATCAACACCTAAAGTGTGGCGGGCAGAGCAGGACCAGAGCACAGGCCCGTGCCCGTGCCTCCAGCGCTCTGTGTGGCTGCGAGGTGTCAGCAAGTGACCTCTTAGCCCGAGCTCCTCTGCTGTCGCCTGTTCCTGTATCAGCATTAACCGGGTTTTCTCTCTGTGGCTCTCAAGTTCAGAATCGTTTTTTTAAAGAACTCCCCAGTTACTTGAAGCAGCTCCTTTTAACTCTGCCCCTGCCTTGACTTGTTTACTGCAGATCAAAGGCCCAGCTCTCCCCTTCTACCAAGCGCAAGCGGGAGACCAGCCCTCCCGGGGCGCGCACGCGCGGCCAGCAGAGAGTGGAGGAGGCGCCAGGGAAGAAGACGAAGCGATAATCCTGACTGCGGGGGCCGCCCCTCTGGTGGGGATGCGGTGGGGAGGAGGGGCCGAGCCCGAGCCTCGGGGTCAAGGGGTCAAGGCTCGTAGGCTTTTTTTTTTTAACCAGGGAAAGGACATGCATGTGCTGTAAGTTCCTAGGTGCAAGCTTTTCTTGTTATGTTTTAAACAGCTTTATAAACTATTGTTCATAGAAAATACTATGTACATTTATTTCAGATAAATGACAATAAGTTTACTTTGTATCTGAACTCAAAGTAGTTGTATATTTTAACCTGCAAAATTGGGATTTCCCGATGTGACGCATCACTAATGCAAACGCTTCCAGCCCGTCAGACACCAGGCTGCCTACTGGTCATCTGTGTACAGTATATAAACATGTAAAAATAGACTGTATTTTACTCTGTGTATGATGCTAATCAATGAACACTTTATTTATTTTACAGAGAAAACTTATCTGTGAACTTTACTATATATCTGTTTATTTTATTTTATTATTTCTTTTTAATAAAAAGGTTTTAAATGCTATGCAGTCATTAGTAGAAACGTTGTAGGCCTCTGCCTGCCCTGTAACTATCTGAATAGGAAGCGGCAGGAAACACAGAATCTTTGCATGTACTCAAGTAATGTAGTTTAGTTCGAGGGTCTCCATTGCTTTTCTGTTCACCGCTGTGACTCTTTTTAGATGATACTGGCATCTGTGACTTGACCACCAGCCTCACTGGCCTAAGAGGTTCCGGTTCAGGTCAGCTTGCACCCAGTCACCTACAGCAGGAAGCCCTCCATCCGTGTCTGCCCCTCCCCTCCCCACCCCCAGCTGTTCAAGACTTCACCCATACCCTTTCCATGCTGTCTTCTCAGTGAAGAGAAGTGCATTGTCCATTAGGTCAGTCCTATCATGCTTCAGAATTTTATGTTGTTTTATACATAATTATTTCACGATAGAAACTGGCTTTATTGCTAGATTCTTTTTTAAACATCTTTTAACTCCCATATGAGCAAACTGTCCAACTTAAGTTTTTCATAAGGTTAAACTTTTCTTAAGATCAAATTTGTCTCTCTAGCAATGATGTGATGAGTTGCCAAATAATTGAGATTATTTTAAAATGTTTTATTCATATTCTTGTTTTGTAATTAAAATTTACATTCAGTGTGTGAATATTTTGGGGGGATTCAATGTAAAGTGGATATTTCTGTCATTTTACATGGTTTCTTACTGAGGTTTTATATATAAATTATAAAATGTTTCCCAAAACTTTCGTGGTAAGAGTTTTCTTTCTGAACTTTAAAATTTCTCCCTGTGAAAACCATTTTTTCTCTTTAAATAATTGGTGTTAAATATATTGTTCCATTTTCACATTCAAATGTGAGTCTTTGGTGGCCTCTCTCTCGGTTGAATCGGACGTGAGTCTCCTTTAGGATCTGGAAAGGGCCTTGAGGATGAGGAACATGAGAATTCCTCATTTTCATTTACATGGTTGAGTTTAACCAAAGCTCAAAAGCCTAAAGTGACTTGTCTTAAAGTTAGTCAAGGATAGAAGCCAGACTGGGTTCCAAGGCTCCAAATTCCCTACCAATCTGTGCACTGTTAGTTTGGGTTGGTCGCCCGCAGTGCCTGCCTGCAAACGGATTCAGTCTGAACCCGGGTCCCTCAGCCCAGGGATGCCTGCCCTGGGCATAACCTCAAAGGACTAAGCAGTTGGCTTGTGAGGAAATGCCTCTCCGTAAAATTGGAACTAAATATCAAAACTGCATACGGAATTTCCTGGTGAGAAAGCTTCCAGTGGGTGTAAACCTGGGAGAGAGGAGAGACCCTCCCCAGGGGGCCCTGGAAGTCCGTGAGAGCGGTTCCTGGTCAGGATGATTTGGTACTTGTATTAGGAGGAGGGGTTTGGGAATGCTAAACGCCCTACAATGCACAGGACAGTCCCCGACTCCATTTCTAGCACTAGAAACGTCCCCAAATGCCAGTAGCTTCCTCCACAGACCTGCTGAGAAACTGGCAGACCCCTCAGCTCAGTTACTCCTGCCACCGCCTCACTTCTCCGTTCACGAACAACCTGAACAGCATATCTGCTTTTCCATCGCAGAGCTGAGACAAGGCTGGGGCCATAAAGCAAGACTTCCTGAAGGGCTCGTTCCTGTGACAAGCCGTGTGCCTGGTAACCCACATGAGTCCTTCCCCCCCAACTTCAGGCTGCGTTCCTCAGAGTGAGGAGCCCACCACCTAGCCTCCTGAAAGGCGGACCAGCTGACCCACCTTACCCACCCCAGTATGGCCATCAGGTGGCACTCTTCCCTACAAGATCTCCTGGTGACTTGGTGGCAAACTAGGGACTGAATTGTCTTCAAACCCCCAGGCCAGGGTTCTTTCTGCTAAACTCCATGGGAGGGAGAATTTGTATTTCTACCTCAGCAACAGGTTCACTTATCTTAGGACCAGAGTACATTGGAGGTTTTCCCCAAACATCTCTGCAACCCATAAAACCTAACTGATTTGAGATGGGGGTGGGGTGGGGAGTGATTCAAACTCAAAGAAATGCTGGAAAATGTTGCTTTCCTATTGGTTATTGTTTCACTTTGATTTTTGCTTTTTATTTATTCATCATCCTTTGTGCAGGAGTACATTTCCTAAAATTGCTGCTTCGCTATCTGTGATTAAGTCAAGAACAAGAAGTTTTTCATAATACACTGACAGAGACACTTGTCAGGGTAAGAAAAATAGTTGTATAGCCAGCATTTTCCACCGAACTGCTGCTCCGTACTGTTGTTGGGCTCCTAATGCGTGCACAGCACCAGGAATGCAAGGATGGACCCAAGTCTCACGGGTGACAATGTGAAGCAAACAGCTGAGCTGCACTGAGACTGGTGTCTCAGCAGTGGGAAGAAAACCGCCTTCCTGAGGGCAGACTCACGGAGGACTAACTCCTGGCAGACAAGAGGAAGGGTTTTGGAGTTTGGGGGGATTTTTAAGTACAAAATGGGGTTTCAAGCAAGGTTAGAACCTAGAGAAGAGAGAATCTTGGAAGCCGAGCAGCAGGGAGGGCTGCAGGCGGTGATGGGTCTGCCAAGTCAACCTTTCAGACACTTCCTGGAGGAGACCCACGCAGATAATAACTTAACAGCTCTGCGTCACAGAAAACACAAGCTCCGAGAGATGCTTCCTTGCACTGCAGCCCTTCTTGGAGATTTATTGGAAACATTAGAACACATAAATTTCCAAGAAATCTGGTTAACTTTGTTTAACCCAGGATTTTCCAAGTTATCAAACCTCAGAACGCCTGCTTCCTCCCCCAACACACACACACACACACACACACACACACACACACACATGCGCGCGCGACAAATTAACAGCTACGGAAATCGATGTTGCACAAAACTTTGAAAACCTTTCACTCCATTTCCTATCATCCCTGGGAAGGCGTATCAGACTCCCAATTTTACAGCTGGGAGAGCTGGAGCTCAGAGTGCTTACATGCGTTAACACGATTAGGACTGCAACCACAACCCCGTGAGTCTCATTAGGGTTTTCTGTACTTGGCGCTGAGGTTCACAGGAGTGGCCCTGCTAGCGCCTACAGTGGCAGGGTCCATGTCACCTGTGGGTGTGAGTGGCTACAGTTTCCCTCAATATTCTCTTAGCAGTATGTGCAATTTTTATAAGCAAACGTTATAAAAATCTCAATTTTTCTAAGTAATGATAGTTTTGTTATACAAGTAATGTCTTGATTGTAGAAATATTGAAGGTAACAGTAAGCAACAGGAGGCAAATCACTTGTAACCCCACAAATCAGATATATCATCGCTCTGATGCACGAGTCCTCAGGACGTTTTTCTACTTACATATATGTAAAACTTACATAGTAATTTCATCAAATCTAAGATGCTGTTGACTATAAAATGCATCATCACTTCTTTATATACTACTAAGAAAGAAAAAATAAAACTATGGCACAGAAAGGAATGAATCTGTTATATGCACTTGTTGCTTTGAAATGCCTTCCCTCAATTCCAAGAGACTTGGTGATCCCTCCGTCTAGCTGTGCGACTGGCCGTGGAGCACAAAATCCTCAGGAGGAAACAGCAGCATCACCTACTTGGGAATGTATCTCCTTTTCTTAGGTCTCAGAAAACACTTGGTTGTTGCTTTGTAAGAAAAGATAAAATCACGGGTATTTCTCCCAGACTGAGTATTTGCCTCACTGATATATAATAAAATGGATTCCTTGCTGGGTTTCTGTGACTTCCTGAGTACACAGTAGCCCTGTTTTGATGTCAAATCATAATGCAATCTTTAAAAAGACATCTTAAATGCTGTTTAAAATTGAAGTGCTTGGAGTCAATGGTGCACAAAACTCAGTAAAAGTGATAGGAATATGAATTGTGATGAACA